CAGCCTTTTATGTACAAACCGGAGTCTGACAATGATGGAGAGACTCAAGAAGTGACAACATGTACTGTAGAATGCAACAGAACGTTTCTGGATGGTTAGTTGATGAATTTATGTAGCTGATGTGGAGTAAACTATCTTCAAGTGATAGGTTAGCAGATTCTGTCATGATAATGTATAAATCGCTCATGTGGGAACTTTTGTAAGATGCCTATGAGCCAGAGAATATACACTCACCTAAAGGATTATTAGGAACACCATACTAATACTGTGTTTGACCCCCTTTCGCCTTCAGAACTGCCTTAATTTCTACGTGGCATTGATTCAACAAGGTGCTGAAAGCATTCTTTAGAAATGTTGGCCCATATTGATAGGATAGCATCTTGCAGTTGATGGAGATTTGTGGGATGCACATCCAGGGCACGAAGCTCCCGTTCCACCACATCCCAAAGATGCTCTATTGGGTTGAGATCTGGTGACTGTTTTAGTACAGTGAACTCATTGTCATGTTCAAGTAACCAATTTGAAATGATTCGAGCTTTGTGACATGGTGCATTATCCTGCTGGAAGTAGCCATCAGAGGATGGGTACATGGTGGCCATAAAGGGATGGACATGGTCAGAAACAATGCTCAGGTAGGCCGTGGCATTTAAATGATGCCCAATTGGCACTAAGGGGCCTAAAATGTGCCAAGAAAACATCCCCCACACCATTACACCACCACCACCAGCCTGCACAGTGGTAACAAGGCATGATGGATCCATGTTCTCATTCTGTTTACGCCAAATTCTGACTCTACCATCTGAATGTCTCAACAGAAATCGAGACTCATCAGACCAGGCAACATTTTTCCAGTCTTCAACTGTCCAATTTTGGTGAGCTCTTGCAAATTGTAGCCTCTTTTTCCTATTTGTAGTGGAGATGAGTGGTACCCGGTGGGGTCTTCTGCTGTTGTAGCCCATCCGCCTCAAGGTTGTGCGTGTTGTGGCTTCACAAATGCTTTGCTGCATACCTCGGTTGTAACGAGTGGTTATTTCAGTCACTGTTGCCCTTCTATCAGCTTGAATCAGTCGGCCCATTCTCCTTTGACCTCTAGCATCAACAAGGCATTTTCGCCTACAGGACTGCCGCATACTGGATGTTTTTCCCTTTTCACACCATTCTTTGTAAACCCTAGAAATGGTTGTGTGTGAAAATCCCAGTAACTGAGCAGATTGTGAAATACTAAGACCGGCCCGTCTGGCACCAACAACCATGCCACGCTCAAAATTGCTTAAATCACCTTTCTTTCCCATTCTGACATTCAGTTTGGAGTTCAGGAGATTGTCTTGACCAGGACCACACCCCTAAATGCATTGAAGCAACTGCCATGTGATTGGTTGATTAGATAATTGCATTAATGAGAAATTGAACAGGTGTTCCTAATAATCCTTTAGGTGAGTCCGTGTATGCTGCATGAAGATAGAACAGGTTTAGTTTAGTTATGGTTATAACTTATGTTGTCATATTGCTTTTATGACATGCTATTGCTTAGAAACAAACTTCTTGTATTATTTTGCATGTTATCACTGTAAAGCTGCTTTGATACTATCTGTATTGTAAAAAATATTTTATAAATAAAGGTGACTTAACTTGACTATTACATTTGTGTGACGTACAGTATTGCAATAAATGTGAAAAGCAGGGTTAGACAGCTTGAGCAGACTCACAAGTGTGCTTTACTACAACAACTCTCCCTCTTCTCCAAAGCAGCCCAACATGGCCTCACGCCCTTTATTGAGTGTTCCCAGGGCGGGTTTGTGTAAATTTGAGGTTTAGTGATGTCATCAACCCATGAAGCAGCTCGTTGTAGTCAAGTCACTTTTATTTATAGTTATAGCGCTTTTTACAATACAGATTTTTTCAAAGAAGCTTTACAGAGATAACAGGAAAATAATGCAACAAAACTGGTTTCTTGAAGAAAAAGCTATAGCAACACAGTCTAGCTTAAGTTCAGTGATGGTTTGTTGTAAAAAAGCTATTAATCTAGTTCATTTATATAGCTGCTCTGGAGAAAACCGTGACGTCATCGTCCAGCTCAGTTCAGTTCTCGTATAATGGTGTCAATGCAGGCAGATCAATAATATTGTTTAATATGAAATTAAAAGTCCCCAAATAAGCAAGCTAAAGGCAACAGTGTCAATGAACCCAAACTCCATCAGTGACTACGTTTACATGCAGCCAATAACCCGTTCAAAACCGGGATATTAGCAATAACCCAGTCGCGCACGGCCATGTAAACACCAGCAAAAACCCGAATATGCTCATATCCCGGATTTTACATTTACATTTACATTTACATTTATTCATTTAGCTGACGCTTTTATCCAAAGCGACTTACAATTGCTATATATGTCAGAGGTCGCACGCCTCTGGAGCAACTAGGGGTTAAGTGTCTTGCTCAGGGACACATTGGTGTCTCACAGTGGATTCGAACCCGGGTCTCTCACACCAAAGGCATGTGTCTTATCCACTGCGCCATCACCACCCCTAAAAACCGGTTTATGATACCTGGGGTACCCCTTTTCTAACCCGAATTGTTGGTCATGTAAACGCGCATCGGCATATCCCCATAGTGATTTGTGTTCTGTGCATGTTCTATTCGCAAGGAATCTTGGTCTTTTGAGTAGAGGAACTTCTCAGCACATACAAAAACCCGCGTGCAGTATACCGGAAGTAAACATGGCGAGACACAGCACAGCATACTTTTGGAGAGAGGTCAGTACCAGCACCAAAGCGCAAACAGAGGCGATCGCTGTCTGCCCCGAACTATTCATTATCCGCGTGCTGCTGCTGTTGTTGTTGTCTTCGGATACAGGAAGAAGAATCGGAAATGACGCATATTGCGTCTTAAGGTTGTCCGTACGTCTTGACGCTAACCGTGCGTCGCCGTTTACATCGGGATATTGCAATTCCATGTATACAGGAGAAACTCTCTCTGCTCACGCATGTAAACGGGTTATTCCTAATGTTTCAGAAACACGAATAGTGACCTTAACCCGACCATAACCCGAAAATTGGCTGCATGTATACGTAGTCAGTGATAGAGTGGAGAAAAAATATTGGGAGACTCAGTCGCTCAGTTCTCCTCTGGCCAATGTATGAACATTGTATGATTATGATTCAGGCAGCATTACAGGTTTAGAACTCAGATTGGATCAGAATATTATCCAGTTCTATCTGGTTTAAGATCGGAGTCATGCCGGTATGGAAAGGACTTTGTTGAGGATCAGTGCCGGAGGCTGTCGTGTCGATGAGGCCTTCACAGGGGAGAGTCTAGTTGGAAATCGCTGCTGACACTTCAGGGATGCGTTGTGGTCGTGTCTAGGCGCAGGTCCACCATCTGATTTGGATACGGCCCGGATACGGCTGATGACAGTAAACCTCGGAAAAAAACAGAAAGACTAACATTAGCGTAGATGCCATTCTTCTTGTCATGTAGCGAGTACATCAGGTGTTATAGGAAGTGTTCCCGGTTCTGGCTGACTTAAATTATGCAGCCTAATAATCATTTAACTGATTTGAATAATAGGATTGTATAGTGTGCTATGTGTATGCCAGTTTAAAGAGATTAAAGAGTCTAGATTTGAACTGACAGAGTGTGTCTGCTTCCCGGACAATGTTAGGAAGATTGTTCCAGAGTTTTGGTGCTAAATAGGAAAAGGATCTACCGCCTGCAGTCGATTTTGATATTCTAGGTATTATCAACTGGTCAGAATTTTGAGATCGCAATAGACGTGAAGGACTATAATGCGTTAAGTGCTCGCTTTGTAAAACTTTGTATTAAACTACAGTAGCATTTATGTTATTGTCAGAGATCAGCCAGGCTCCACCACCACACAATCACAGAGATCGCTGTCACCTGAGTTCCAATCACCCGCACCTGCACGTCATCAGATCCTCATCACAGTCTGCACAAAAGCACTCGTCACCCACAGTCTCATTGTCTAGTCTCGTTTCTAGAGTAAAGAGTCGAACCCATGCTCTCCTACATGGTCCTTGAAGTTATACGCATCGATCTACCTACTTGTCATCCATTCCTCTCCATCGACTCCAACGATCTCTCCATTCCTCTCCACCAGCTCCAGCGACCTCTCCACTGCATCCACAACCCCTCTCATCTTCTGTAAGGACTTTCTCGTCAGTATAATCATCATCTGCCATCCAGTCTATATACCTTCTCATCTACCGTTATCACTTACCATTCATCTGTTTAAATAAATACATTTATTTCACAATCAGCCACCAACTATAGAATCAATTCTTAATGCGCATGTGAACGCCATCAGCGTTTATCACAGGTTCGCGTTTAAAGTCTGTTTAGAGACATTCATATACATTTTTACCTTACAGTTACTGTAAATCCGGCCTCTAGTTCATAAACGCCAGAGGAGAACTGGCCCCCGACTGAGCCTGGGTTCTCCCAAGGTTTTTTTTTTCTCCATTAGGTCACTTGATGGAGTTTTTCGGTTCCTTGCCACTGTTGCTTTGGCTTGCTCAGTTGGGGATATTCAAATTAATTAACCAATCAGTAATACCCTTGATCAGCTCTACCAAACGTGGATGTTTTTCCACTAAGAAACGAACATTGTTATTAAGTTTTGATTGATACTGTGAAGCTGCTTTGATTGTGAAAAGCGCTATATAAATATACTTGACAATCTATTTTTCTCTTCTAACTGAGCTTATTTCTGTCATTGGTTTGCATTATGTATGCTTGTGGATTGAAATATTTGTACATATAGTATGTTATTATTAGTTTTTTATTTCTATTTATCTAATAATTTATCTAATAAATGTATTTTTCATTTAAACTTAAAAGACGTTTTGTTTAAGTTTTTTCATGAAGATTTTTGTCCTGATGTCTCAAAAAAATCATGGAATTGTTTCTAAATGACTATTTGAGCACCTGAATAATTGGGAGGGATTGTAAGTGTGATGATCATCTGCTAATTGAGCAACAACGACCACAATTCACTCCTTCAGTCAGTGAAGCTCCCACAGCCGTTCATGAGAGTTTAAATGCTGGGGAATATTCCCATCTTCCCACAGGAGAAGAAGCAAGCAGGAGGAATTACTCCAGGAGAAACTACGGACATACTATTGTAAAGATGGAGATTAAGGAAGAACCCTGCAGAATAAAAGATGAAGATACAGAGGAACAAATAGGTTGGTGTTTTCCTTCATTCTCTTTAATCACTGATGAGGAACATTAAGATGAAAATTGAAAAAGAACAATACATCGAAAACCAGTAGTTACTAGACTTAAAAGATATGTGTTTAAATAAGACTTTTAAGACCTTAACTTTTTTTTATTTTTGTTTCTCATTTGTCCTTTTTTAATGTAATTTAATTAACTTAGGTGCAGTGGAAGTGAATGAAGACAAACACCATCATTTCACAAATGAAGATGAAGAACTGACATATAAAAACGAAGACAAACATCTGTTACAGAAACCTCAGTATTTCAAAAATGAAGATGGAAACACTGTCGTTTCAAAGACTAAAGAGAATATCGCACAACAACAAGCTGGAAAAGGATCTTTCACCTGCCCTGAGTGTGGAAAGACTTGCAAAGAAAAATCAAACCTTGAGAATCACATGAGAATTCACACTGGAGAAAAACCGTTCACATGCTCTCAGTGTGGAAAGAGTTTCACTCAGAAAAGTAATCTCAACGCTCATCTGCGGATTCACTCTGGAGTGAGATCATTCAGCTGTGATCAGTGTGATAAAACATTTGTTTATTCATCAAACTTAAGAGATCACCTTCAAATTCATACTGGTGTGAAGCCTCACTTTTGCTCTGTTTGTAGAAAGAGTTTTTCACGACTACAGACTTTAAAAGCCCATGAGCGTATTCATAATGGTGTGAGACCTTATGTGTGCTCTGACTGTGGGAAGACCTATATTACATCGGGCCACTTAATAAAACACCAAATAATTCACACTGGAGAGAAACCGCACAAGTGTTCACACTGTGAAAAGAGATTTGCTTGTTTAGAAAGCCTGAAATATCACGAGAGAGTTCATACTGGAGAGAAGCCGTACCAGTGCTTTTCATGTGGGAAGAGATTCACCCGATCATCTACTCTACGGTATCATGAGAAAAAGCATTGGCTAAAGTCTCAACTAAGTGAGCAAAGTTCACATTCACATCCATGATTATATTGTCCTTATAAATAATTTGACATTGAAATAGTTTAATAGAGTGATTAAATCTAAGGGTTAAATTAGTAGTGAAGTTTGAATCTGGTGATAGTTTGATCAAGTGTTTCCCTTCTCTTCTCAACCGCTGTAACATGATTTATAATGATATGATTCAACATTACTAAACTCTACTTTAACACTTGTTTTGCATTCAAATATTTCTGAAGTTTTTCAGGTGAACTGTAGTGAGATACATTTTTATGTGAAGCTTTAGCTCAAATTTTGTAGCATGTTAAAATTGCTATGCAATCGCTGTTGTTTCTGGTGTTGTGTAATATTCAGTTCCTGTGTAATGCTGCGTTCACACCGGACGCGAATAGCGATTTCAATGTTAACGGTGCGGATCCACTTGTCCGTGCGATACTTCAGTCGCGCCGCGCTCCACTTTATTCCTATGGGTGACGTCACGCGACTTTAACGTGCCTGCAAAGCATCCCGGGAAGGCGGCGCTTCATTTGGAAAAATGCTGCGCGTCAAAAAGCTGGCCGATGCCCATCTTTATGCAAATGAATCCGTCAAACGCGCCGCGTCTATCCAATAGAAGTAGTCTCTCGAGGGGCCTTTGTTCTAGATTGGCCGCTGGGTCAAAACCACGCCCATAGCGGTAAACTTGAGGAACGCCCATCAATGTACAAATGTGGAGAGGCGTCGCGACAACACGCGACTGTCGTGTCGCAAAAGTGGATCAGTACCGTCACGGTAGAGATCCACTTTTGCGAGATCCACTTTTGCGACAACACGCAACTGTCGTGTCGCAAAAGTGGATCTCTACCGTGACGGTACTGATCCACTTTTGCGACACGACAGTCGCGTGTTGTCTCAAACTCCACTTTTGCGAGATCCACTTTTGCGACAACACGCGACTGTCGTGTCGCAAAAGTGGATCAGTACCGTCACGGTAGAGATCCACTTTTGCGACACGACAGTTGCGTGTTGTCGCAAAAGTGGATCTCGCAAAAGTGGATCTCTACCGTGACGGTACTGATCCACTTTTGCGACACGACAGTCGCGTGTTGTCGCGACGCCTCTCCACATTTGTACATTGATGGGCGTTCCTCAAGTTTACCGCTATGGGCGTGGTTTTGACCCAGCGGCCAATCTAGAACAAAGGCCCCTCGAGAGACTACTTCTATTGGATAGACGCGGCACGTTTGACAGATTCATTTGCATAAAGATGGGCATCGGCCAGCTTTTTGACATTAAAAAAGCATTTTTTAAGTTGTTAAGCATTAACTGCAACATTTTTTTCAAAACAATATACCGGTAGTTTGTGTAATATAAATCGCCTGGGCTGTTTTACCTGATTGATTACAGGCATTCAGATAGATATGGTGGACACAGCACAGCAAACAATGAGCGAATAACCTCGTCTAGGCTAATACAGTTTTTTACTCTTTGATGTCTTTATCTTTTTTCATTTCATGTGTTAGGAATTACATTTGAGCCATTGACTTCCATAGTAGGAAAAAAAAGCCATGTGCAAATTCATAAGTCAACACCATTGCTGAGTATTTTAACGGTTTGAAATTGAGCATGACCCTCACAGTGCATTATGGGTATTCTCTAGTCGTTGAGCTTATATCGGTTGTACACTCGTTATTGCAGTGCATTGAAGGGTTGAATGTGTTCACTCGATGTGCACTTCTGTTCGGACAGATAATGCAGCCCAATAGTGCCCTATTAAGGGTATAGGAGGTGATTTCGGACACAGCCATTGGTTACTGATAAATGCAGGAGTGTAAAATGGCGACCTTGTGTGGTGAACTTGAGAACTGACAAACCTGAATTTGGCCATGTGACCACGAACCAACTGAACTATCCTGCTTGCAGACAGTGAATTTTGAAATATTTATATTGAGATGTATATCTGTATGGTTAATATTACAAAGCATATATCCAGATCATATTTAAAAAAATCACAGAATAAAAATGTGTATAGGCCTATTTGGCAGAGACTTTTATTGAAATGGACTTACATTGGATTTAAAGGAGCTGTATGTAAGAAATGTATTTAAATTAATCATAAAATGGCCCTTATGTGTCTCTAGAGATTAATAAATCATGTTCATTTCAAATACTTAAATCACTGACAACAATAGTACGGCCACGATATTGTCATTTAAAAAGTGTAGTTGCAGCCCTCAACTGATGTTGATGTTGTCATCTTGTGTTTTGGCCTGAAGCCCCACCCTCCACCTATCTACCAATCACGAAGTCAGTAATGTTTCGGCATCCGGGTTGCCAGCTCTGCTCTAGTTGAAAGCTCCTTGTAGCAGCCTACTTTCCTGCTGGATCCTGTAGCCTATCTGGCAACCTCGAGTCAGGGGGGAGGGGGAGGGGATACACTGCTCTACAGTAATTTGAAAGTGATTGCAGTACCAGTTTTGGCCACAATCTTACATACAGCTCCTTTAAGTTACATTTGATCAGTTCATGCATTCCTTGGGAATCAAACCCATGACCTTGGAATTGAGAGTGCCATGTATTTTTCACATTACAATTTTTGTCAGGATTACCAGAATGAGAATACAGTGAGAACACTATATAAAAACTGCATTATGCAGGCACCTGCTCTGAAAGATAATAATTCAGAATAATTGTTTCCCAGTCCAACATGGTGGCAAATGTGTCCCAATTTACCGGAATTCACTTTTATGCATTGGAACCTCTCTGTGTTTTTTTTTTTTGTCTTTTGTCTTTTTTCCTGCCTTTGTCTCTTTTGGCTTGCTTAGTTGGGGACATTTAATTTAATATTCAACAATATTATTGATCTGCCTGCACTGACACCATTATATGAGAACTGCACTGAGCTGGACACTGACATCGCGTTTTTTTTTCCAGAGCGGCTATACAAATGAACTAAAATGTACATTGTACATAAATCTGTATTGTAAAAAGCGCTATATAAATAAAGGTGACTTGACTTGACACTATGTCGTTTTTTCTTAATATTACAACTATGTATTACAGAAGGTTCAAATTAATAAGTTTAAGCTATTCAATAATAGATGCTTAGTTTTAAAAAAACACTAATTTACTGGAAACATATAGCCTTCCTAGGCTATACATACCCCACCCAGTAGTCTCTCACAAAACAACAGATTATTACACACGCCGAGCTCACTGTTTTTAAGGGACGGACAGGCCCCGCCCATCATGTATGTGGGCGGCTCACTTCAAAGGCTCTGTTTTGAGTTGTGGGCGGAGCATCGTGTGACGCTGACCAATCAGAAGCCTCTTCTCCTCCGCGAGTCCACAGCGCCGCGCCCCAGTCTGTGAGACGCGCACCGACAGAAACAAACGGTTGCAGAAAGAAACAGTGGACACAATCCCACAAACGGAGAAAAACATTAAGCTCCCCGCCTGTCCCCGAGTCGCTGTGGATTCCAGCCGCACATTTAAACCCCAAAATCGCGTAAGTTTGTTTTCTACTTTCCTTTCACTCTGGATTATTCTCCCCAGGGTTTTAGTCGCGCGGCCTCAGCGTTAGCGAGCGAGCTAGTGGCGTTAACGCTCGCTTTCTACAGGACGAACTCGTTCGTCGTATATGTTCTGATATTTCTTGTGATTTAGAGATCACTTGAGCCTTTTCTGCCACAATCGGGACTCTCGGTAACGTGTATTATGTTGTAGAAAGAGGAGAGCGCAGTCGCGCGCGCGCGCGTGCACCGGACAGGGCCACTGCAACTCTGCACGCGCACAAATGAAAATACTAAAAGTCTTTGTCACTTTTAAAGTTGGAAATATTTTGTGTTCTGCAAAATGTGGTAATCCTTGTTGCATGTATTTGACATTAGACAGACTGTCGATAGCGCATCTTGTTTCCATTGGTTGCAAAGTGATATTGGTTATGTTTATCTACAATATTAATATACAAAAATCATGCCATACGTTTTTTTATATATATTATTCCTTTGTGAAATCAAAATGTGCACTTTAAACTCGGAAGGGATACCAAGTGGCCATCCAGACAGTTATAGACCGTGATATATCAGTTTATCATGGGTTAATCATATTATTATTATTATTATCATAAGGCGTCTTGTGTTGTGGGATGTGTGTGTTTTTGTGCTGGTCACAGATTGGGCTCATGTTTGTGTCACTGGTGTTTCTGACAGTCTGTCAGTCAGAGAAAGACTGAAGCGTCTGTCTGCTGGTTTGTAGCATAAGGGCATTGCAGATCATTCTAGTAGATTATTGCTTGAATAAAACCGTGGCAATATCAATATTATCCATAAGGCCAATAACCAATAAGCAGTTAAGTTACTATTTATCATGATCAAAACAATTTTTCTGCCAATTAATGATGTTATTCAGCTTTTTTTGGGGTATTACCTTTTAATAAAGCTGTTTGTGACTGTAAAATGTCTGCAAAGTTTTAAAGATAATAGTGCATGACAAATATAGTTATTGTCTTCTAAAAGAAAGAATCGATTCTAAACTGCCGAAGCGAGTCAGTAATTCCAGTCTCACTCATTACAATTTTGCATAATGCAAGCCTATGGTTTTCATTGGCTGAACAGCGTCTCTTAGCTCCGCCCTCAAACACTAGTGTATCTGAGACTGGGAGAGTTTGGTTCGTGTTGTTCGTGTCGAGAAGACGCTGTTTTCTGCTGACAAAGCAAATCCACTTTGATGAGATTGATACGGTAAACCCCACGCCATCGTTACTGTTCCACTGTGATCAAGAGCTGAGAGTCAGATATGATAATAGGCATTTAGTTTCCAAAGTGCTCTGTAAGCGCCGGTCGACCAATCATAACCGATCGGGCCATGTGACCAATCAGAGCAGAGCAGCTCTCAGAAAGGCGGGGTTTAGAGAGACTGAATTTTCAAACAAATCATTTCAGACTATGAGAAATGAGGTGATGTGCAAAATTAAAATTGAAAGATTGTGTGAAATTAAAGTGTTTTATGGCCTTGTATGCATGATAACCCTGTTGTAGGACAACTAAATTAGGAGGAACCTTTAAAATAGCATAATTTGTGCACTTTAATGTAGAATGAGCGCTCACAGGTGTGTGTTAACATATTACGAATGGTTTTGAACGTGGCTCATTTTAGTGTTGAAGTGATCCGTTTTATCAGTTTTTATTTCCGAGCTTTTTCAATAACAGTGCGATGGTGAAACCCGAGATTGAGACGCTCATTCTCTCGCCCGTGACCCTCTGGAGGGACGAAAACGTGTTTCTCATTTTCATCTCACGTTGTTTAACTTTTTCCCCTCTTCCTCTCTCCTCCCTTTTGGTTGCTCAAATGTTCATATGTGTAACGCTTGTTGCTTTAAACAGGAAGCCGTTTGTGTAGCGTGTGCAGCTGTTTGTGTAGAATAAAACTACATCTGCAGTAAAACATGGCTCTCTCCCAAAGCCTAAACCTCCATGGGCAGCACCGACACAAAGGCTATTTGAAATGTTTGCAGAGTGATTATTCTGCTTTTTTTTGGGCCAAATTCTTAGGCAGAATTGCGTACTTGAGAGAGAAAAAATCCCATAATGCATTGTGACAAACTGTGAAATCCATCCATGGTGGACAAAGAGAAATGTTGATTATCAAAATACTTATAATTCATTCAATAACAAAAAAAATATTACTTATAAGCAGATAAATAAAAGTATAATAGCCTATATTGTCAATGTGTGAAGGATGTAGTCTATGTAGACAGCAAGGCATCTCACTAGTTACTGGAACAGAGCCCATATGTTTATGATTGATATGATTATTCAGCACTATATGGGGATTTTTAATGTGTTTTGTTTCTAAACTGATTTTAGAGTTGTAGAATATTTTATTAGACAAAGAGCTGTATTTTATTTTAGCAGTCCTGTGGTGTTATTTGAAATATTTGCTTCGCTTAAGGAATCATGTTTGTAGGGGTCCATCTCTCAGTGTTTGGTGAATGTGAGGCATGTAGTTTGTATTCAGATCTACTGGCCCTCGGCCACATTTAGACCCGCCGTGTGCCAGGAATAATGCAGACGACCAGTGCCATGGCATTCCTCACACACACACACACACACACACACCAAGTGATTTGTTTGAGATGTTTAACAGCTGGTGTGTGGTTACCGTTTTCAGGCAAACTTTGTTAATGTACAGATTTCAGATAACATTTCAGGGCAAGTTAGGGTAATTCCCAGCTCTCTTAAAATATATAAATGTATGATAAAAATATTAAATTCAAATAAATATTTCAGGTTAGGGATGCACGATGTATCGGGCAATATATCGGTATTGGTCAATGTTCATTTTTGATGTTATCGTTATCGGCCCGATAAGAAAATTGGCCGATATATTAAAGCTGATAAATAATTTCCTTCAGCTGAGACGCTTCAGATGCGCACTGTTCAACGTGATGGTTTTGAATAGCTTGAAATATGATTGGAATCACTTCAAAAAAAAGGAAAATACTGTAAAGTGCAACATGTGCAGCACAAGACATCATTATAATTGTGTGCTTGGGACGTGGATTGTAATGGTGAGACTTTTTTTGTAATCAGGCTCTCAAAAATTATATAAAAAATTGGATTTAGATTTATTGCCCAATATAATGGTTATCGGCTTTCAAATAAAGAGTTATCGGTATCTGCCAAAATGTTCATATCGGTGCATCCCTATTTCAGGTCTATTTATTTAAGAAGTAGGAAGGTAACAATCATATAATCCTAATAGCACATTTTCCCTTAATTAACTCCAATCTGAAGAGTTTTGGCTGGTGAAAATTAAAGAATAGGCCTAAGCATTTAAGCATTGAAGTGTACCTTGGAGGTGGTCATTTTGCTTATACTACGAATGCTTGTTTCTGATTGTCTGATGAGCATTTTTAGGTGTGCAATTATTTTTTAGCAATTTTTTGCTGCTAAGGTTCAACTTCTTACCGCCTACAACAGCAAAATAAACCAAAATCAAGCAAATAACTGACTGTAGAACTGGAAATCTTCACGTTTTGAATCTACGTAACGTCACTCTCCAAACATTATGATCACACCCACATAAACACTCAGCCAGCAGCTCAATCCCACACACACACACACACACACAGTCACGTGATCACTGCTCCACACCCTCCCTCACATCTGTGAAGTGTTACGGGTGAGATAATTCACACACTTCTCTTCTGGAAACTAGGTCAGTAAGGAAGTTCCTCATGAGTCGGTGATGAGACGCAAATTCATGCAGCTTTACTTAAGATTCAACACTTTTACGAGACACAGAAGATCTATCACATCCTAGAATTGATCCGTTGAGTGGTGTTTGATTTAAAAATTTATTGTTTGTTTACACAGCCATTTTTCAAATCTGAGGTGTGAACGACCAGTGATAAACGGGGGTTTCGTGACACTTTAAACCAGGGGTATTCAATTAAAGTAAAGGTCCGTTCACTATATTTCCTTCCCAGTGGAGGTCTGGACACTTTTTTATTGGTACAGTTATACATTTCCATCGAGGCAGTCATGGTACTTTGTCAAAGAAAAAAAGTTTTCAAAGATAAGAGAACCAGTTTCTGTTTTAAAAACAGTGATGTCTAAGAATTTTTTTTACCAAAAAAAGTACATATTTGATATGAATATAAAATGTTTTAACAGGTTATTTTTTGGGGCTTCCATTGCTATATCTCTAAATAAATTAACAAATTCTAACAGTGTTTATCATGAAATGCTCTTTAGCTATATGCTGATTAATAGCCTAATGCTAACAAGAAAAACGTCTAAAGACGCCACACGCTAACTTGTCTCAAACCTGGTTTAGTCAAGCAGTCTTCTGTATGACAGATATAAACAATTGTTTTACCTTCATTCTCGTTTTCTTCAGGGTTTTAGCGAAAGTGTCTATTTTGCTGCTCACTGTGTTTCTGCTACTGTTATTAAAATAACCGGCGAAGTCTTAATGTGTCACGTTTTAATCAGGAGAAAACCGCGCATTGAGCGGAAAGGACTTGAATGAAGCACGTTTGGCTCTAGTTACTTAAAAATATTATAGATATAGCTCTGAAGGAGCATTACCATAAACAACCCTGAGCACTTGTGGTGTGAACCGCTCTGTTGTTTTCATTTTAATCTGTAGAAATGGAAAAATGGCACAATTATGTCCGGATGGAACCACGCCGTGCGGGCCGCCATCTGAATATCACTGCTTTAAACTAAGGTAGTGTTGTAGTTGCTGGCCTGCATTTTATTTTTAATATGCTCTAATGATGTGAATCTGGCAGGCACTAAATCATGAGGGATTTAACCTGCAAACTTAAACAGTGCCTTCTGCAACGAAGAGATTTTATTGTGTAGTTCAGACCTCTGAGAACCTCACGACTTTTATGTTTGCTGTCTTTCTCTCTCTCCATATGAAAGACACACACTTCCTCCAACTCTGCAGGTGTTCCAGTGTTATATGCATTTATAAACTGATGATCGCTTGGTT